TCATGGTAGGCGTTGGACAGACAAATTCAACCATGTTGTTGGTATTGTTCACACAAATTACTTGGAATACATTAAGAGAGAGAAAAATGGGGCCCTCCAAGCATTCCTTGTGAAACACATAAACAACTGGGTGACAAGAGCATACTGCCACAAGGTATGATTTTTATCCTGAGTATGTAAGATGGCACTTGTGATAATTAAAAAATAAAAAATAATTTTTTTTTTTTTAGTTAGGAGGGGTCTACCCTTTGCCTTCAATATCCTAGGGTAGGGGGAGTTAATCTCTGCTATCAGCCAAGTCTATTCTTTCTACTCACAAAAAAAGTTCTATTTTTTTTCTTTATTAATGCACTCTGGAGTTCGATTGTTATTGGAGAACTTAACAAGACAGAAGGGCCTGAGTTGTTCATCTGTATCCAGGTTCTTCGTCTTTCAGCTGCCACTCAGGATTTACCCAAGTCTGAAATTTGTAATGTTCATGGTGTGAATCCCAAGTTTCTGAAAATTGGGGAGAAGATTGCTGCAGAGAGGGAGCTTGGGCAGAAAGCCTTTACAAAAGGCGCATATTTCTTGGGGAAGATGGTATGGGCGAAGGGATATAAGGAATTGATAGATTTATTAGCAAAGCATAAGAGCGATCTTGATGGCTTCAAGTTGGATGTATTTGGAAATGGAGAGGACGCTCATGAAGTTCAGAGTGCAGCTAGAAGATTGGATCTAAATCTCAACTTTCAGAAAGGAAGAGACCATGCGGATGATTCTCTTTATGGGTAAGGATAGATTGAAATGAGTTTTTTTTTTTTTTTAAGTACATTTTAGAATATGTTCATCGGAAATAACCCTTGCATTATCATAAACCGTATGCAAGTTAAATTGGGAGAATAACTTTTTAGTTGCATCATAAAGTTAACTACATGTTATAGAGACTGCATGTTGAAACCGTTATTCGTTCCTTCCATGCCTCCATGCTTAGACTTCCATCTACGGGTCACAGGCTAAATTAACCAGATACTTGTAATGATCTTACTTTTTATGTAATTTGGCCAACTTTCTGACACTATTTTGCTCCTTTCCTGAAGGTACAAAGTCTTCATAAATCCTAGCATCAGTGACGTGCTCTGCACAGCTACAGCTGAGGCGCTTGCCATGGGAAAATTTGTAGTGTGTGCTGATCATCCATCAAATCAGTTCTTTATGTCATTCCCAAACTGTTTGACTTACAGGACATCGGAAGACTTCGTGGCGAAAGTAAAAGAAGCTTTAGCCAATGAACCCCATCCTCTTACCCCTGAGCAAAGATATCAACTTTCATGGGAAGCTGCTACGCAGAGATTCATGGAATATTCTGAGCTTGACAAAGTCTTGAATGGAGAGAAAGACGGAGGAAAGGTTGTTGCAAGGTCCGCGTCAATGCCTAATCTGACAGAACTAGTAGATGGAGGCTTGGCTTTTGCTCACTATTGCTTCACTGGTAATGAATTCCTGAGGCTTTGTACTGGAGCAATACCTGGTACACGTGACTATGATAAGCAGCACTGTAAAGACCTTCATCTCTTGCCCCCTCAGGTAGAAAATCCTATCTATGGCTGGTAAATAGAACGAGTAGTTAGTGGAGCAATTTCTGGGACATACACGATGTGACTGTGACAATGATCAGCACTGAAAGGACAGTCTCTTGCCCCAGTGAATGCTGAATAGAATAGCAAATAGATTTATACCTGGCTGAATTATAGTGTTAACTTTCATGATAGTGATTGATTGTAATTAGTTGTAATTAGGAGCCTTTCGTGTGATCACTCCACAAAGTTTATGTAACTTAAATCTTTCGAACACATCTAGGATGCCAAAATTTCAGTTTTCCCTCGTAACATCCCCCCCCCCCCCAACGGGCGGGGGTCTTTTTCTATTGTAAGGTGAGTAAAATTCTATGAATAAGTATCGGGTTTGACGTAAAGGGAATATATAGAAAATGCATCAGGGATGTTAAAGATTGAACTAAACCAATAAGACCCGATCAAATTGTCAGAGCTAATCTGTTGAATCATTTAAATCAACTCAAGAAAATGAAGCACATATTAACCCCCCCCCCTTTTTTGGGCTCTATTCAATTGATGCATCGTTCCTAGTCACTGTATGCAACCTTGAGAATGCTACTTCAAAGGAGATATCAGGTTTGCTGTCGTCCTGAATAGCAATATTTACTGTGTCTTGAGATATAAAACAGGTTAGCTATTCGTTCCTGAAAACATAGGAATGTAATCAGATTACGGTTCAAATCTCCCGAGAAAGATTAAGACGTCTTATCATTGAATGAGAGTTGTTGTAACGAACGGTCGTAAGATAATTGAAGAGCACCTTACGTAAAATATACTAAAGAACTCATCCAATGAATAGTAGTCTTTTTTTTTAAAAAAAAAAAGGGCAAAAAAGAACCAACCATATAAAAATCTTTGTATACTTGTTCAGATGTATTTTTCTCGAGTATTGGCGTCACAAATTCAATCGGATGACAGGAGCATGTGTTTTTTCAATTTGATTGGTTGGCCATTTCTATGAACCAAATGTATCTAACAATCAGTCTAATGGATTAATGAAAGAGTCTCTGCACCATTCTTCCTTCAAGAAAGAGAGAAGTGTAAACTACCAAACTTGCCTTTAGGCCTTCACAACTTAGAAAAGATGATCTACAATACATTCTACGTCAGATCGGGATATAATTTTTTTTTTTTTAACCCTTTAGTTATGCTCCTTCCCATTTCGTGCGTGCGGTATTAATTAATAGCCACGTGATTCCCATGAAAGACTGCTGAGTGGTAACCCTCTAATTAACTAGGTTATAATTTGAAGGCGAAGATCGAAAACATGGCCCCCACAGTGTGAAGGTACTGGAATGTCTTTTAATTGCAACTTGTAATTAATCTGATTGAGCCCATGCTTACTTCTGTTCCTCTTTATGCCATTAACAGTTTATAAGTATTAATATATATATATATATGCATCCTGTTAGGCATTGGAGCGAGTAATCATAAAACTTTGAGAGGAAATAGACGCAGCCTATAGTTAGAGACGCTTGAAGAATATTATTTAGAAGAATCACATTCAGCCCCTTCCTAAAAAAATTAATTACAGATAAAGACCAACAACAAATTCTATTAAAGAAAAAATAAATTATGTTCCATTTTAACAACAATCCATTTTGTATTGACCTTTATTTGTGATTAATTTTTTTGAAAAAGGGTTGAATGTGATTTTCTCATATTATTTCCACTGAGGAAAACTGTTGTTGAGAACAACATGTGTACTGAAAAAAAAAAAATCAAATGTTCAGTGCATGCAAATTTATGCATTGGAGTGAAAAAGGAACAGGGCAAACTGATGATCATGACTTAAGTATCAAAATGAATGCGGAGCTTTCCCCATTCCGGACTTTTCTTCAGGCTGCCAAAGGAACATTGTATGCAGACAAGGTGAAGCTAATGCTAACAATTATCATCGTTTTTCTAGAGACTTCTGAATTCTGATAGCTCGATGCATAAGAACTTTTCTTTTTATATTTCATTATTCACACCATCATTTTTTAAATTGAGATATCCTCGTGATTTGGTAGCTGTCGAATGTTCAGCTTTTAGTGCAAGGCTTTGCCTTGAGCTATGAGATACTAGCCATACTCACACTGCTTGTGTCAGATATTGGAAGACAGAATACAGACGCATAATTATCAACAGAAGTATACGACTACTTCTCTTTTGATTGGTATACTTTGCGTTTACTTACCAGCGAAATTGTTTATAGACTTTCTCTTTATTGTGTTTACTATACATGCATGCATGCATACATACGAAGTCCCTCTTGCAAGAATAATATAATTATCAGATTCTTCTCCTAAGTAATTCAAGTTCTGGTTCTAGTTTTGTCATTATACCGAACAATCAACCCATTTTAATTGGCCATATGAATAACTGTGTGAAAGAAAAATAAAGATCGAGCTGTAACAGTAATCAAATATACATATATATGAATCCGAAATAACTCCATGCCTTTTAGGTGCATTAGCATGTGCGTGCCACCCTCTTTTGCTTCAATTTTAAGATTTCCTTGTAATTAAGTATATTCTTACGGTTATTTTGTTGGGAATTGAACTTCAAATGCATATATTTAGAAAAAGTCAAGCTGGCCAAAAAAGGGGAGAAACAAAAAATCAGAAGCCAAGTGCGAAAAGTCTCAAATGCTTTGGATGAAAGTTCCATTGTTACTGTGGAATGTATTATATAAACTATGAAGCATATGGTTTCTTCCAATTGTGCTGTTAGAGCAACGTCTCAGTGTGAGATGCAAAAGACAGCTGTCTTGGTCATAATTACCACAAAGTAACATCGTGGAGTTTGACTCTAGCTAGGAAGTCACTGCCGTCGTGTTATTGAATATTTTCTTCAGTAATATTTTTTTTACTTTTTATAATTATATTTTTGTCAATATATATCAATATAAGTAGAAAGAACCCAATACATTTACACAGAGTCCAAAATAAGTTGTATTGTTCACATATTGTGAACTACAGCCTCCCATAATTTCTATATTTTAGCCTTTTGCAAGTTTACTTTATAAAAATAATCTTTTCCACTATAGTAGTGATTCTTGGTCATAAGCCACAAGGAATCTTAGTGTGTTAAAGCCTACTCACTCTTTAAAAGAGATAGTTCTAAAAAAAAATAACACTATTAACTATTTTTATTTTAAATTTCTTAAATTAATCTATGTAATTCAATTAAAAAGTCCTGGATGGAGAAATCATATATAAATAGAGTAGGCCCTGTTCATTACATGCATATTCCAATAGGATTGGAAATAGGTCACATTGTTCTGGCCTGTGAAAAGTGTGGCTTTTATAATAATATATATAAATACTACGTCAATTTTGCATAGCTTTTATAAATTTATTGAGAGTCATGTGCGTTAGTCACTCATTAATTTAGAGTCTAAGCTTTCATGCATCTTCAAGGAAAACCAAATTGCCCATGTCACTTTTCTTTCGGCTTCTTCATTTTTGCGCATTTTCTTTCATTATACATTAAGACATATCGAAGTCATGAAAGAGAAGCACCAAATGTGGCACCCAGGCTTTGCTTATTTAATTCACCCCGAGTTCATTCCTTTAATATCCCACGTCCAACAATATTACGAGGCTAAAAGATGAGGTCAGAGACTGCATTTTAATACTCAACCTGGAGAAAAATTGTTAAGTAGCGACTAATTACTAGCTAGCCTCTCAAATTAGTACTAACAAATAACAGTTAAAATTAAAATCTATCTATTTACAGGATACATCCTCTGGGTTGGATTTTGGTGCTGCAACTTCCTTCACTGTTGTGTTCGAATCTTGGATGGTAATAATCTCAATATGATCTGCACTTCCACTGTCTGCGACAGGATTTATAACTCCACGATGAAGTCGGTTTGGCTTCTCCGGCGAGACATTAGGCTCCACTTTATCGAAATGAGACAAGTTGGAGAGCTCAGAGACAGCTTCATAGATTTCCTCCACTGTCTTTGTGATTTCTACGAGTATGGATGCCACCGTGGCAATTGGAACTATCGCTAAGACGTCTATGTCCTCTAAGGAAGCTGTTTGGACTGCGATTTCGAAGTCTTCAATTGCGATCTTGGAATTCTCCAGGTGGGGTTTTACTTCAGACAGCTCTTTCATTGTTTTGATAGACAAAGATAATGCTTTCAGTGCGATGCTCGATTCAGAAGTCATCTTCATGCATGATTCCTGAACTTTCCTATTAAACTCTAAAGACACCTGCAGGAGGCAAAATCCATTTATATATATATGATATTAAAAAAATGTAGGTGAATGATGAGAAGAATAAAATATGAGAAGTGGGTTACTTGGATTTCAGAGCTAAGATAACCATTGAGAGCTTCCATCTTGTAAGCACATTTGCGAGAAAGTGCTCCGATCTTGAGGTATTGTTTCCAAGGATGGCGAAAACGAAATCGACCATGCCCTGGTTCCCACCTTGCTAGATTTGCCTGTTGATATTGGGGAAAAACCGATCCTGAGAAGTAATGAAAATGCTGATATAAAATATCGAAAGGAGACGCTTTTAATTTAAGCCTCACCAAGGACTCTTCAGTTGCCTTGGAATTCAGAACACTCTTGTATCCTTCAAGTTTTGATTTTTCAGGTTTTGCTTTATCGTCTGAGTACTGAAAGTATTCACCTTCGAAACCTGAAAATTAATGACTCCCAGAGGTTAATAGAAACATGCAACGTTTCCGCATGCAAGAACAACGTGAAATTAATGAACTTTTGTATACCAGTATTTACCTTCTAGGTAAGTAGCCAGCTTCTCGATGTTGGAAGCGACCAACTTGTGAAGGTCTTCGCCTGCCCAAACTGGACAAACGAATAAGGATATGACCATGCACGTCGCTCCCCCTATTATAATGGTCGAGAACCTCTGATGAGCAAGCTCGAAGAGATTCTCCATTTTGTAGCCTGACACTGCGACCAGACTGAAGGTCAATATGAATATCACCATCCCATAATCATATCTTGCCTTTATCTTGGGGAAAAACCTCGAAAATGTAGAGCCTGCCGCTGCATTGTATTCACGAAAATAAATAATTTAACCCCAAAAATTTAGTCGCTTCAAACACAACCACCATCTATTAATTTAGTCCTATTCCCTTATTTACCCAGGATGAATACAAGGGCCCCGAGCACAACAGGCTCTCCTTTTTCTCCAAACAAATTAGCCAAGTGTTGACTTCCAAATCCTAGAGCTCCTGCTACTAATGTTGCACATCCTCTATTTATGCCTTTACTCAGGGTTGCACCTGAACAGCAACAGTGCAAGAACATGGAATTCAGATACATTTTTTGTGCGTAATAATAAAAAAAAAAAAAACATGCCTCGTTAGTGATCATTTGTATGAACTTACCTACGGTGAACTCAAACACTACAACGACAGTAAGAACAGCCCACATTCCCGCAACACCAAAGCCGTCATAAAGAGGCCTCCAGTAGTATACCAGAGAAACTAGCGTGAGAGCTAATCCTACTTTTAGAGAGTGAGTGATTCTCCTTGGATCATCTTTTCCGATCTTCTTGATGTCCTCCGCGAAGCTCATAACATTGGACTTGGACTTGTGAGGCAAATTCTTGAGGCAGCTCCACCAACCTCCTTCCTTCACTTGTGTTCCTGACTCCATTCCCATGGCTCTAGGGCTAACCAAACCGGAAAAGGCTGGGTAGCTAGGAAGGAAAGTTGATGCAGAGACTTGAGGTTGATGGGAAATTTGCCTTCGACAGGTGTGTGTATATATATAGGAAAAATATCAATTAAAGATCGCTAGATAAAATCTATATTAATTAAAGATTATTTGTTGTTAAAATTTAAATAAATATTTACCAATTTAAATTAGTTTTTTATTAATAAATATTCATTAAGGTTTTAATAATAATTTATTTTAAATTAACAACCTTTCATTCAAATTTTTTTCTATTCAATTTTTTGACAATAATTAATTTTTTATTGATATAAATTTTTTTCAGAGATTCACGTGCTATTTTTCCCCGCACACACATATATAGGATACAAAGGCACGGTAATCGATGTGATGCAACTCTAAGAATATTCTTTTTTATTTAATTTATTTTGTCAGGTGTGCATCAGTTGCTGCTTTAACGTTGAACAGGAGATGATAAAATAATATAGTTGGAGAACCCCGTGACTCTCTAATGAGCAAGAATTCATCCCACAAATGCCCCGGCTTTTGGAGCAGTACGAAATAAAAGTTATAAAATTGTACAGTGCACCGTTACCCCGGAAACAAAATTGTGTAAAAGGTTGTAATGAATTCTTTTACTGGGCAAGTATTTCGGACACTGGCTATGAATTGTTGGCCATTATCATGAACCCTCCTTAACGATCTAATCTACATGCGCTTTCACAGTTACACATATACTCTCATCCATAATACTTTCTCATTCTCAAATTATAAAACACTTTTAAATAAAATTTTACATACAATAAATTTTATTAAATGTACTTAACAATTTTATTTTTTAAAAAACAAAAACATAAAATTTTAAAAACACCATTCATTTAATGTATCAAAAAAATAGAAGAGATTAAATAGATAGAGAAATAATAATATTAGAATAAACCTATTTAATGAAACAATTATATTTTAAGACACTGAATTTTATCAAAAAAGCATTTTATAATTTAAGATGAAAAGAGTATTTCATTAATAAAACAATTAATGCTTCAACATGTTTACTAGCTAAGCTGGCTAGCTGAATTTTTTTTTTCTTTTTCCTGATCGTTATTTACATGGATGAGCGTGTGGGTGTACCTATACTGGCATGTATTTCTTTACGAACGCGCACATATACTCTCAATCAAAAAATAGTTTTCAGATAGAAAAAGAATGAGTCGATCAGTGAGTCACATGTCATTTCTTGGGCTCAATGAAAAGGATCGGTGGTGAACACCTTGCATGCAGGCGACCCACTTAATCCCAGATTAATATTCTTCAATATGCGGAATCAAATTATTATAAATATGGACACAACTTCATTGAATTAGGTCATGCCCAACATTGATATGACACTAGTGGAATAAAAGCAGAACTATTTGTTTAATATGTTAATTGTTGGCACTTGGAAAATGGAATGGCTTGCGGTCCTCGTGGATCATCTTTTTTAATTTGAGAGTCTTAAAACAGTATAACAAATAATCAAGAAGAAAATATGACTTAATTTACCGAACCAGCAGGAATGATATTGCAGTCAACTATACATACATCGACTTGGTCATATGTAATGTAATTATGTATGGCGCTAGCGGCGTGACAGAAAGTCAAAACAAAATTAATCAAAACTAAGTCTTTGTTGAAGTTCATGAGAATAATTTCAGTTTAATTAAGGTCAGTGTGTGTCTTCACGCAATTACTTTGATACATAGCATTTAATATATAGACTTATAGTTCAAGTATTTTTCTCCCTCTCGATCGGAAGCCCTAAAAAATAATCTTAATGCATGAAGTTTCGATTCCTGTTCTATCATTTTCGACTCCTAGTCCTAATAAAGCCTATTTTGCATCCAGAGTAATAATTCTTGACAATCTGATGATATTAAAGCTGCCAAGCCGAGAACTATGAACTAAAATAATTATTGAACCACAGCAAGCATTAAAGAGAGCTATATGATTCCTTATAAATGGATCATCTAAAGTTGAGAATTAATCTATAAATTTTATGAAGTTTTTGTTTTTAAAAAAATAGAGAGAATATTTTATATTTTATAAAAAATAATAAAACAGGAAAAATTCTAAAAAAAACTTATAAAAATTCATGGATTTTGATTTCAAAGGATTTTAGTTCCCCTGACTATTTAAGCACGATTTTTCAAGTTTGAATTTGTGAAAATACAGAAAATATTTTTTAAAAAATTATCCTCAATTGAACCCAACAATACTTGAATATGACATGATCAGATGGCTATATCAAAAATAATTACTCAATGTCGATGACAAGCTTACCTCGAAAGATGAAAGAATATATAGAACAATATATAAGTGATTATGGAAGATATGTACTTAGATATGTTTATTATTTATTGATCACAAACCATATATTACAGTATAAGATTCACCTGATTTGTGTTTCTCAATAACAATAAAAAATAAATAAATTTCTTTCTCGCTACATTTGCCGGGTCTAACTGGTGGTGTAAATTTTACTATCTCTATTCCATTTATACAATGTTATCTTCTTAGAAATATGAAATTCAATGATGCGGAACATTTTTTATTGGGAGAATGGCACTAAGAGCCTTAAAAAGTAAGAATTTTGTAAATAAGGCCTAATAGATTTTAAAATTATTCCGAGGGTCTAAAGGCCTCATTTGCAATTATATTTTTTTGGTGAAATGACCAATTTGTCTCTCCCATAACTAGCTGTTGAATGAAAATTTCTTCTCCTTCCTCTGTTCTTCTCTCTCTTCTTCTCTTTCAACACTAATGCAATAACCAAATTCATTTTTCTCCCCCAATATGCTTCTCTATTCCCTCTCTTCTTCTTCCTTCTTTCTCTCATTTGAAGCTTTTTCATTTAAGAGGTATGAGTGGGCGATCCACTTTTATTCAAATAGGTATGGAGAAGACGATCAGACATTCGTTTGATTACAATCCTCTTATGCCAACCAGCTTCTTGAAATGATCCGTCATAGTGTGGAAAAATAGATCAAGTGCTGCATCTGCTATTGTCAGTTTTATTTTGTCAAAAAAGGATATAGAGAGAGTTTGAGCCATATCAATTTTATCTAATCATAATAAATACATTCACGTTCATTTAATGAAAACAAGTTATTATTTATAGACTTTTTGTTATTTCTGATACATATTTTTTTGCAATTGATATAAATGTTCTGGTGTAGATGTTGTTTATGAAATTTATATTGTTATTTATGGAGTTTACATTGTGCAAACTTTGTAATTAACTTGTGCGGATATTTACGTATATCATATCGACAAACCTTGTATTGTAAATATATGGACATTATATTGTTAGCAAATAGATATTTTCATGTTATATACAGACCTTTTGTTCTTCATAAACTTGAGAAACTTTTTTAAATGTTTAGTTTAATTGCACAAATCATGTGAAATAGATGTACATTGTGTTGTTAATAAATGAACATTATCATGTTATATATAGACTTTTTTATTATTCATAAACTTGAAAAACTTTTTATTAAGCCTAGCCAACTGATAAACTAAACACACATGGACTTTCAGTTTATAATATATAAAGATTGTATTGTGCATTGTTTGCTTATTTGCGCATTTTGTCAAAGCCTAGCCTACTGATAAAGTAAAATCTTATAGACTTTTAGTTGAGAATAAATAAACCTTATATTGTGCATAATAGACATTGTGTTATGCATTGTTTGTCTATTTGTGTATTTTGTTAAGCCTAACCTACTAATAAAGTAGAATTGTTTGGACTTTTAGTTGAAAATATATAAACTTTAAATTGTGCATAGTGGATATTGTGTTGTGTATTATTTACTTATTTTTGCATTTTGTCAAGCCTAACCTACTGATAAAGTAAAATCTTATGGACTTTCAGTTGAGAATAAATAAACCTTATATTGTGCATAGTAGATATTATGTTATCCATTGTTTGTCTATTTATGCATTTTGTTAAGTCTAGCCTGCTGATAAGGTAAAATCTATAGACTTTTAGTTGAGAATATATGAACCTTATGTTGTGCATAGTGGATATCTTGTTGTGCATTGTTGCTTACTTGTATATTTTGTCAAGCCTAACATACTGATAAAGTAGAATCTTATAAACTTTTAGTTGAGAATAAATGAACTTTATATTGTGCATAGTGAATATTATGTTATGCATTATTTGCCTAACTTCAGTATTTTGTTAAGCCTAGCATAATAATAAATTGAAATCATATAAACTTTCAGATGAGAATATATCACAAACTTTTTTTTTGCAATCGTCTTTAACTAGCCGTCCTCCTAGAAGGCCACAAACAAGGTGGATAAAGTCTTTCAAGATAAGAAGATTTATCATTGTTCTAGATGTGGGAAGGCCGAACACAGTCACAAGACATGCAAAAATCCTAACCCAGCATGAGAAGTGGTTACATTGTATTTCTTTGGTGTACACAAGTAACTATAATTATGTATATGAAAGCATTTCCAAATAATATTTTTTGAGTAAGTAGGAATCACAAATATTTTTTGTTTGTATATGAAAAAGTAACTGTTAGATATTTTGAATATAGTGGCTAACTTTTTGTATATATCAGACTTGAAATATTGTGTCAAATTTCATGTGGATGCTTGTTTTAGTACCTAGGCTAATACCAACATGAAATTATTCATATATGATGTAATTGTCCTTCTTAATATTAAAAATGCATAGACTTTCTGTTGAGCATGCGTGAACATTGTTTTGTGCATAGTGAATGTTGTGTCGTGCATGGTCTACCTGATATCATTTTGTTATAACTTAGGCTAGTGAAATACTAAAAATATATGAATTTCTTGTTCGACACATGTAAACATCGTATGATGCAAAGTGAATGTTGTGTCGTGCATGATCTGCCTAGTCATTTTGCTAAAATTAAGGCTAGTGAAATACTTAAAATACATGAACTTTTTATTGAAATGCATGGACATTGTCTTGTACAAAGTAAATATTATATCATGCATGATCTATTTCATTATTTTGAGAGTTTACGC